GACTTGGAAAGTCTCCAAACTCCACTGCTTAGGAAGTTTATGGAGGTTCTATTATGAAAGCATGACTGATCAAATTATCGGTCATTGGTGATTAGCTCCCCTGAGGTCAAGGGGTGGGGTTGAAAGTTCTAATCTCTAATCACATGGTTGGTTCTTCTGGCAACCAAACCCCATCTTGAAGCCATCTAGGTGCCCAGAGTTACCTCATTAGCATAAACTCAGGTATGGTTGATTGTTCCTCTCACTCCTATTACTCAGAAAATCCAAGGGTTTTTAGAAGCTCTTGTGTCAGGAACTAGGAACAAAAACCAAAAATTATAACAAAAGATGCTCTTTTCACCCCTACTACTCAGGAAATTACAAGAATTTTAAGAGCTCTGTGCCAAGTAACCAGGAACAAAGACCAAATAAGTATTTCTTCTTATATCACAATATTACAGAGCATATATACAATATGTCTGAAAATGTCTTTATTATCCTTAAACTTGGGTGGTAGTTTAGCTGGCTATAAAATTCTAAGTTTTAGGGGAATTTTTTTTCTGTCAGAATTTTGAGGGTCCAATATCTTCCAGGTTGTTGCTCTTAGAAATCTAATGCCATTTTGAATAGTAACCCTAAATATGTGACTGTTCTTTCTAGAAGCCTTTAAGCCTTTCTCTTTATTCTCAGAGTTCTGAAATCTCACAAGGTTTGTACTCTGGTGTTCGTTTTCTTTCACTGTATCACTCTATAGACATTATTTCAGTTCTGGAAATATCTTTTCGTACACTTCCTTGATAATTTCCTCCTCTCTATACTCTATTTTTTCTCTAGTCAGGTGCTGGTCCTATTGGAATGATACTCTAAATTTTTTAATCAGTTCTCCCCTATTTTCCATATCTGTCATTTGGTTATCTTCCAGGAATCTATTTCAACTTTATCTTCCAATATTTCTGTGCTGTAGCTTTTTACACTGGCTATCATATTTTTAATTTCCAAGAGGTCTTTTTTGTTCGCTAAAGGTTCCTTTTTCTATTTTGAAAGAATCTTGTTCCTCTTTCATGAATGCAATATTTTCTCTCTTTCTCAAGATATGAATAGTTAAAGTTTCTTCTCTTCCTCCTCCGTGCTTTAACTGTTTACTCTGAGTTTTTTCTCTTCCATTTGTTTTGGTCTCTGTCTTTCATGTTAGAGGCTTATCTTTAAATGTCTCGTGATGCTTGGTTATCTGCTTATACTTTTAGAAGCTATTTGAAAGCTCTGTGTGGGGACTAGGCTTGTCAACTTGTGGAATTTGCATAAGGGTGATCAGGCAAGAATCTGACATTTTATTGAGGACTCTCAGAAGTAGTATCTTTAGAACTTTTTCTCTGGGGCTAATTTTATCAGAAAGATCTTCCCATCTCTTACAAGGGAGTGCCTGCCTACAGAAATTCTGGAAAGTGGGAGAGAGAAGAGAATGATCCTACCACTCAATATTTAAAACTTTGTCTCCAAGCCCTCATTTTCAGTTTTGCTCCGTATTTCATTCCTTCTTCTATGTTTGGTATGCCTCTGGTTCAATATCGAACACTGAAACTCCTGTCTCCAGAGAGTAGGGGAGGGACTATAGGCATCTGATTGGTTTTCACACAGACTTTCAACTAATCTTCCTTTTTTCAGTATTTGGTTTCTTCAGTTCTGGAGCTATTCCGGGGTTCTGCATTACAAATCCCCTTTCTTCTTAGTCTCTTCCCCTAGCAGGTACTTTCAGTTCCTCCAGCCCACTGAGTTTATCACACGTGCTTTTAACCTTCAATATTCCATTATCTCTTATTTGCTGAGATCTCTTCTCCCACTTACTATCATTTTAATGAGATTACAGGAGGAAATGGAAGTTAAAATGTGTGTTCGATTTGCTGTTAAACTTCTATGCATTTATTTTTCATCTCGAAAGTAAAAAGAAGACAAAAGAACAAGCGGTATGTGCATGAACTGGGTGACCTGGTTTCCCAAAAAAGCTCAGCTAAAAAGAAGACAGGCCTATCTTGGGATATGCTAGTCAGATTGCATTTGAATTCTGTGTTTGGTTAAGGGGAAAAATAAATTTGTCTTTAGAAGAGGGAGACCAAGATGGGAAAGGATCTGGAAGCTACATCTTATGAGGAATAGCTAAAGGATAGTTAGTCTGAAAACTAATTTGGGGGTTAGGGCACAACGGTCATCCTCAAATCCTAGAAGGGCTATCGCACAGATCAGGGCAGATCTAGATAAGTTACGGGGAGGCAGATTTTAGTTCATCATAAAGAATAAGAGCCTATCACCTAAGAATGTCTGGGGGAGCCCTTCACTGGTTCTAAAAC